CTGGCTGACAAAGGCTGGCTAACATTTTAGCAGCAATACTGTTATATATCACAGTATCCATACTGAAATATTTGGATATTGGAGATTCTCAGCCATCAGTGGCTGTCTTTAGAACATGCTTCAGTTTCTTACATGGCCAGTAGAAAGTAGCTTGCTACGAATACAGGACCAGTAAAAGGGATGCGATAGAAAAGATTTTTTTCTTAATTTTTAAATTTAAACTGGCAATAGTAAGGTTTATTTATACATACAGCATCCCATCTTAAGTACTAAAAAAACCTTCCCCAGATACTGAGTGCAGAGGGAAGGTGTGTTTGACCTGATTTTAAATGCTATGGGACAAACAGCCTAGAACTCAAAATACAAGGATTGTAAGTCTCCCCAGTGCATGGTGAGTCATGAAACCTCTGCTGGTGTTAGCCACAGAGTTAGGAATCTTGCACGAAAAATGAGCATTTAAACAGAGCGGCTTTTAAAATTGAAATAAAAATGAAAGTGCCAGGGACAAATGCAGAAGTAGGGGAACAGTTTAAATGCATAAAAAGAGAAAGGAACAAGGAAGCAGAAAAGCAAAGAACAGAATGCCATGGTCAGAGGCTCAAGGAAAAGAGGAATAATTATAGGGAACAGGAAGTAATCAAGAAAAAAAGTAGGACAAAGAACATCCTAGGCAGTGAAAGGAGGTAATCACAATAAAAATATAAGGATTTCTTTGGATCAGTAGAGAAGAAGAAACTGGCCTTACCTGTGTGAGCTGGAAGGTGTGTGACAACATTGTCCAGGGTAGGAGAATATGAAATAAGCTGAGATGCAGGAGAAGGGAAGGTAGGTTGGCAGTGTGTCCCTTCTGTCAGCAGGAAACATGGATGGGAGCCCCGGTTTCTGTGTCTATGTTTTGTGTACATTTTCTACCTGAAGCACACTCACACGTAAATGAAGGCAGCTTTTCCTGTTAAGAACTTGAAAATCAGGAATCAGGCTAAAAAAAAAAAAAAAGGCAGGGAAAAAAGCCAATGCTGATTTTTCTTTTCTTTGTCTGTCTCATGATGCCTGAGCAGTAGGATTTGGTGATATTACTAAAGTATTGCAAATCATATAATATTTCTTAAAACCCTTGGTATCCATCTAATTCACATTTCATTCATGTTTGTGTTGACATTTTGCATACTTCCTTTATGCCTACTAGTGAACCATTTTAAACTTAAGCAATACTTATGAGTCTGTGTGTTATGAAAAAAGATGCACAGTTTCCCATATTCTTTTCAATAAGACCCACAATATGAAAAGCCTCAATCAAGAAACTCTGTACATTTAGTAATAGTTTAATCTTCTCTCTCCATGTACTTTAGAAGAAGGCGAATAGAGATGACTTACCAAATTCTATGTAGGAGTCAGCTAGCTAGAATGAAACACAAAAAGGAAAACTCTGAGATCATTGTATTTTGCTACACACAGCCAAAAGAAGGGGACCTGGGACTACTGCACTGCTTTTTGGCACAAGGCTACAACACGCAGTAGTGGTGTTCTGTAGTACCACAGCTAACTGGAGTGGCACTGAAATATCCTTATGTTTTCCAACCACCTGGGATGCTGGAAACTGCTTAGGATGACCCTCCAGGTGTACTACCACCTTATTTCATAGCCAGTCTAAGCAGTCAAGGTGGAGGGCTTGTAGGGCTATGCTGGTGTCCTGGGTGAATTGCTTCTGATAAATAAGTTGACTCTTTCAGAACTGGTTTAGGTATCTCAGCCTAGGATATGTCCAGACCATACACACAGAAGGGTTTAATTCTGGCAAAAGCCATAGACATCACTGAAAACCACACCAAAAAGCTAGCTGTCAACATGGAAGGTGGGAGACAGCAAATCATGTAAGTGGAGGTAATAACATGGACCATTTAATTCTAGAATTAGTTCCCACTTTTTATAAGGTTTCAGAACATAATCTAACCTATTATTTACATTACATTTTAATTGGTATTTCCTATCTACCCTTCTTTTTATTACTGTAAACATGGTTCAAATCTGATTTCCTTTTATGACAAGGTAACCCACCTTGTTGATCAAGTAAAGGCTGTTAATTTAATCTTTTTGGATTTCAGAAAAGATTTTGATGGTGACTCTCATAGTATCCTTCAGGACAAAATGTCCAGCATACAGCTGGCACATGACAGGTGAGCAGCTGGCTCACAGGTCAGGCACAAAGCATTGTAGTGCCTGGAGTAAAATCCTGCTCGTGACTGGTCGCTAGAGGGGTTCTGCAGGGCCCCATCTTAGGCCATGTGCTCTTTAACATTGTTGTAAACAACTTCTATGCAGGGCTCAAAGGGACACTAAATAAGTTTGCAGATAATACAAAACTGAGAACTGTTGATTATCTCAAAGGCAGGGAGGCCCTGCAGAGACACGTCAACAAATTAGATTAGAGAGATGGACAATCATCAACCTTATGATTTTTTACAAGGGCAAGGTCTGGATTCTGCACCTGGGATGGGGCAACCCTGGTTGTGTGTATAGACTGAGGAACAATGGAAAGCAGCCCTGTGGAAAGGGACCTGGGGGACCTGGTCGATGGCAAGTTGAATATGAGTCATTGGTGCCCTGGCAGCCAGGAGGGCCAACCATGTCCTGGGGGGCATCAGGCAAAGCATTGCCAGCCAGTCAAGAGAGGGGATTGTCCCGCTCTGCTCTGCGCTGTGGTGGCCGCACCTGAAATATTGTGTGCAGTCTGGAGCACCACAATGTGTAAAAAGACATTAAACTCCTAGAGAGTGTCCAAAGGAGGACAATTAAGATGGTGAAGGGCCTTGAGGAGCATCTGAGGGCACTTGGTCTGTTCAGCCAGCAGAAGAGGAGTCTGAGGGGGGACCAGTCACAGTCTACAACTTCCTCAGAAGGGGTAGGCACTGTTTTGACTAGTGACAGGACCCAAGGAAATGGCCTGAAGTTGTGTCAGAGGAGGTTTAGATTAGATACTTCACCCAAAAGGTGGTTGGGCACTGGAACAGGCTCCCCAGGGAGGTGGTCACAGTACCAAGCCTGATGGAGTTCAAAAAGCTTTTGGACAATGCTCTCAGGCATTTGGTGAGATTGTTAGGCCTGTCCTGTGCAGGGCTAGGAGTTGGACTTTGATGATCCTTGTGGGTCCATTACAGCTCAGGAAATTCTGTGATTTTGTGGTATATTTATAATACAAATTTTGCAAGCTTTTAAAATACAAGGTGTTTTCTCTCTTCTGTGTTTAACCACAAGTAGAGGCAAAGAAAAGGAAGATAAAATAGTGAAAGTCCTAATCTAGGAAAGTACAAAAAATTAATTAATTTAGCTTTAGCAGTTTGGTTTTATATCCAGGATTAATGGACATCTGCCACAAATTGTTCTCTGTTCATGCCTTCCTTTCAAATGTTAGAATGGGATAAAATGTTTTCCTCTCACAAGATAGATCCATTCCTATTCATGGGAATCTGAGATACCATTGTGATGAATGCCATGAGAAACTAATAATTCTGGGTGCAGCGTAAGCTTGGGAAGATTTGCACTAAATAAAGGAGTGGCCAGAAACTGAATGAGCAGGGCTGAACAACTGCCCTTTCTGTTAGCTTTCATCCAGCCCATGCACTAAATGAGGCAGGGATCCTGTGGAAAAAAGTACTGAGCCATCATGTAATTATAGACTGGGCACGCAATTAACGATGAATCCACAGAAGGAGTCAGAACTGAGGCTCTGCAAATACAAGCATGTTTATTGCCTCTCCTACCATTTGAGTTCTTCACACTACATGCAAAAGCTTTTCCATGTAGGATGGTCTGGGGCTGCTGAACAGAAGCCATAAGGGTACCCTTTCATGGGTCTGTTAGTCTCCTCAGAAGTTGTCTTATTTGACATAATATATACTCAAACACACTGAGGCACACATGCATATGCACACGTGCTTACACCTGTGTCTATTATAAAATAATGTAGTGGTAAGGGGTAATCTAAATCATACAGAGAATCTGTGTTCCTCCACTGAATTTCCTCCCCCTTACTAAAGTACTGATCTTTACAGCTGAGACAGATTATGCAAAAGGATCACACATAGAGGAAGGTTTTGTTACTGCTGTAGGAGGAGTAGCCAGGGGATCTGCAATTATGTGGGTTGAGAATATAAACCTCTTACACAGGAACGTGCAGGAGATCAGCTGCATTCCTGCAATCCAGAGCCTGTGGTAACAGCAGAGAAATGCTATAAAGCTACTGAATTAGAGAATTCTTTTTTGCTTTCCCAGTTTTGGTTTTGCTTAACCTGTTTACTGGGACAGCATAGAGATACAACACCAGCTCTGTTTACCTTAACTGGGGTGTTCATGCTGAAGCCTAATTTTTATGTCAATATTTTGATGTTTTCACTGCTGAATGTTTTAGCAGGCACAGCCAAATACACCAGAATGATAGACTGAATTTGGAGAAGGAAAAATATCACATGAACAGCTTTTCTTTTCTTTCTTTATGACTTTTAAAAGAAAATAGAATGAATTACAGGTGAGAAACCCTTAGAATATAGACTACCTAAGTATAGATTTTCCTATCTGACAGATTTTCTGCTTACATTTCACTTTCTGGATAGCAATTATTGACAAATACCATGTTGTATTCGTGCTGCCTTTACAGCAATAAGAATGTTGATTTTCATTCTGTAAGCTGCTCAGTGGTAATTTTCAGAAGTTACTGTGCAGCTACTGTTGCTCTACATGACAGAAGATTGTGTACACACATTTCTCGTCAGAAAGTATGCTTTTATTCAAAAGAATTTCAGAAGAGAGAAAAAAATGCATCCAGTGAATGGCATTGGTAAAATAAAAGAAAACACTTACAATACCACTAGTTTTTTATGTCTAGATGCTGGTTAAATAGCAAATATAAAGGGAGAAAGTCAAGTTTGTGTACAGCTTTTCAGTATTTTATCAGTAATTTTAAATACAGTAAAAAAGTAGTTTTTAGGCTATTATCTCCACAGTTATTTTTTTTTAATATCCCCATATCCCTCCTCTGAGATGTATTCGAATTGTATTTGATTGTATTTAAAACATCAATAAAGGGAATTTTAATGGCTCAGATAAATAGCAATGTAATGTATTTTAAAGCAATGGAGGACAAAAGGCTGAACTCCTAAGAAAAGTTAATTCTTCATTTACAGGTGTGTAACCAATTAATTTGTAATTGAGCTTCCACAAGTAGGAGTCCAAACTAGAGGTGATCTTCATTTAAGTCATTAGTTGAACAGAATCATGCATCTGAGTCATTATCATAGATGTCTGAAATGGAAAAAAAATGCAAAAAATATTAGTATTGTGTATTTTGACTCAAGGAGAAAGTTATTAATTGTAATTGAATGTAGCTACTGTATTGTTTGAAATGTTCAACATACCCTCAGCAACACTGTCATAAATCTCTCCTTCGCTGTAAGTTAAAAAAAAGAAAAACCATACATTTAAATATCGAGACATCAGATATAAATTACTGTTTGCATGCAGATATGAAATAGAGTAGTAGTATGGTACAGACAAGCTATCAAGTAATTAATTTGCTAATTATGAAAGTGCAACCTTTGTGGTGATAGAACAGTGTTTAGCAGGATGGTCAGGTTAGAGGATTTTCAGCAAAGGGTTGACCTGGATATATTTCTTTTTAATATGAAAGGCTGGCTTTTTTAAAAGAGTGGGATTTTTCAATTAAATTTTTAAGCAGCTATTCTCATAGAGGTATTTCCTTAAAAAAATGAAGTACTTCCTTGGTTTTTCTAAATGAACACCAGAAATAAGGAATAAAAAAACCCAGTATGCCCTTGAAATTCTTTTTGTTTCTGTACTTGGCAATTCCATAATTTTGGAGGTGCTTCTTTTTAGGTAATGAATTTAGGTAATGTCTGTAAAAGATACATGCTTCATGAACAGGAATTTTCAAAATATTTCACTTAGATATGTGAAGAAGCCCATGGAAGACAATAAGGCTTTGTGTATATATAAAAACACATATATATTTATATATATATGTTAAAAATTCAAATGTGTGTGTAAGTATTTGGATGCCTCTACATTCTAAATGTGACAATTATAAATGGGACATCTGATTTGATATTTAAGTGTCTCATATAGAGCTTGTTGAAGGAAATGGAAAGGCTTTGTCTGACAAGAGTTTTGGAGTAGAACTGAAATACTGAACTCCATGCAATTATTTGGAGCAACACTGGGCCAAATCTGCTCAATCCTCATAAGACTGAAATAAAATTAAACCTAAAGAAAATTTGATTGATTTTAGTTAAACATTTGAAAAGGACATCAATACACCTAATCACATTAACTTGCAGTTCATTAATAGATTCTAATACTAATAATACTTAATTTATATAATTTTTCATGGTTTAATCAGAGTTTATGGTTATACAATAAGGAAAGAGGCCCTGGCAAATTTCCAGCGTGGATGCATGTGATTAATTCTTGAGAAATTATAACTTCATAAAAATAACTCAATTTTCCAGACTAGAATGACAGACTAAAATAATTACATTTCATTTTTTTTTAACAGAGAGTTTAGAAAAAAATTGACTGTTATAACAATTTTTTCAAAAAAATCACTTTGTACTTACTTTTGAACTAAATTGCTTCTCAAGACATAGCCATCTGTAAAAGTAAAATATATATGCATTAAAGTTAAATTTAAATACTCATTACTTCTGTTGCTAGCACTAGTGAAATGCCTTATTTCTCTTTTATATACTTCAGACAGAAAAACATAATAGATGGATAACAATGTAAAATGGACACATACTTGATGAAGCTTTTACTATATCCAGTGTTTTAGTTATTCTTATTTGCCTGTTTAGTATAACACGGTGTCTTAGACAGGAAATCAGAATACTGTAGTAGCTGTGAGACCAGTTAGGTGTCTACTGTTCTGGATACTTTACATATTCATAAAATGTTGTTTATCTTGTTTCCTCCTTCACAATAATTTTTCTTTTCTGATACACAAGACATGGAAGTATTTTTTTTTCTTTTTTTTAAATACACAGTGATGTCCAGCTACATAATCTCATATTTTTTTTAAGGCTTTTTTATGTCCAAGCCCTAATTCTATTCTATCTGAAATTGTCCTTTCTAAGATCTGTAAATATACTAGTAGGGGGAACCATGCCTTGTAAATGCATGTCAGATACAATAAGCTAGAACTGTTCCCAAAAGCTGATAAGTTATTAGAGTCTTTAACTGGCAAGTGTTTTAATACATAAGAATATCCTATGCTTCCTATATGGAAAATTGGAAAAGCTATCAAAAAAGACTAATACCCCAAATAATCCTGCAAGTAGTAATGAAAAACTTTTATTTAACAACAGTTTTTTGTTTGTGGGTTTTTTTAAGGCAAGCTCCTCTTAGAACACAATAATAAGCAGTTTTTCTTCATAAACAAACATTTGTATAATTCACTTTAACTTGGCATATTTCCATCTTAAAATAGATTGATATCAGATGTTATATAAATCTCAAAGTACATAAGGGGTTTTTTTCTAGAATATGCTATATATAGTGGATTAGTGATTTGATCTGTAAAGGCCATAATACATTTACAAACATGGGATTTTAAAAGAAAACTTCTGTCTTGTGCTAGAGCTGAAGTTGCCTGAAAAGGCATTAATTTTGCGTGATAATATTTTATTTTACGCTTACCTACATTAGCTACTGTTTAAGACTTAACAATTACATGAATTAAAAAACAGTTCTGTGCTTTTAATATTTGATTGCTGCCATATAAGATACAATTTGCTTGATTTGCCTGATTTCTATCTTTGGTGTCATGAAGATTTGATACATACATAAATTCGTTTATAACAGTTTCCTACTAAAGCTGTTGAGCTGCAAGTAATCTTCAAAAGTCAAAGAATCCAGTGCTCCAGGTTTTCAGTCACCTGAATATTGTCTCAGGTTGAATGCCAGCTGGAACCCATTGAGGAAGCTCTGTCTAATCAGGATTTTTTTAGCCTGGTTGTCCTTCCCCAGATTTTATTATCTGGGATAAAGTAATGGAAATGGATTAATTTTTTTTTTTTTAAAGATGTCGTCTTTTTAAAGTTCTCTGTAGGACAGTCCAATAGTTTCCATTACTTCTGAAGTCTCCAGGGAATAATTTAAAATGATTTGGCTAAATCATTCTAATCTTCTGAAATACACCAAAGCAAAGCTTCTTCACTCACCATCATGGCATACAAACCCAGTGTGCTTGCAAGTCATGTGCATGTGACTGTGCTTAGATCATGGTAAAGCACAATCTAAGTTTTGATGGTCCCTGGCCCTCAAATAGGTGAGAAATACAGCTCCTGCTGATCTCACAGCCTTTCAGAGTTACTAATCCCAAGCTATATGTCCAAAGTTTCAGTTTCTAACTAATTCATTAATTTTTATAGGGCTTCCAAATAGGGAACAAGCCAGCAGGTCAGCACACTCTGTGTTAATTACTTCGCACCACTGAAAGCTATGACACATCGTGCCAGCTGCTCATTTGCATCATAAAGGAAGCTCAGAGAGGACAAAAACTTTCAGGCAATGAAATCCATTTATATCCTAATGTTTAAGCAAAATCTATGAACCTGAATTAAAAGTTTTTGTGTATTTAAAGATGTATGTGTTCAGACTAAGAAGGAATTTAAAAGGGTAAATGAAAATCGGTTCTTTGTTTCACTTTTGACATTTCAAATAATTTAATAACAAAATAAGTGATAGCAGAATGTGTTCCTAAGATCACCAGCCCTTGCTTGAAAAGGTGTAAACACATTACAGTATAATTTGTAATTTTTTTTAACTGTTGGAAGAGGCTTGAAGCTATGGAAGTGCTTCAGAAGTTAATGATTAAATCAAAGAACTCATGCAAGAAAGTAACAAAGTCATCTCTAATTGCTGATTTTCAGTCTATCTGGCCTTCTGAAGGTAAAATCATAGCTTTAAGATCTGAGGAACTTGATCAATCACAGCAAATAACCAAAACTGTCATGCATTTACTGAAGTAGAATTCAAACTTCACTAACTAATGTGGAAATTGACAGAGATCTCTTCAGAGGTTTCCAGGGAGGATATTTTTATTTGTTTTGCTCTTTTATGCATAGCAAAGCAGTAGCTCCTGTCATTATTTGAAAGGCTTTGAGACTACGAGAGGAAAACAGTCAACATGAACTACTTTCTACTTTGTTATTAGCTTGATTCAAAAAATGGAGCTTTGAAAGCTGTTTTTTTGGGAAGTGGCTTTACTAGTGAAATCCATATTTTGAAAAACATATGTGTGTTATGCAAGAAATTCTTCCTCACCCTGCAGGCCTGCCAGGAAGAAGGCTGTACTCCAGACTGTAAGAGTTGAGTATAGAGGGGAAAAAAATATCAGGAAAGTGCTTGAATCCCCTTCAGAGGTTTATAGCATTGGACTCTGTTCTACATAGGTCAGAAGTAAAAAGTAAAAATGAGTGAGAAAATGCTACTTGTTCAAAGGATACTTTGAACCTAGGCTGTTCCAGCACAAAATGAATTTTTGTTAGGAGATTTGAAAAGTATTGTAACTTAAGAAATCGAAACCATCAGGAGATGGTCCGGAATTCTTCAAAAATGCAAAAACTTCTGCCAATGCAAACCATAGCCAGAGGTTTCAAAGAAACACTGGAAGGCTTCATGCAGCTCCCAGAACAAGCAGACATGCCAACAAGGACATATGCCTTGGATCAGCTAGAGGCTAGGTGGAAGACTACTAAGCAATATTCCCCCCAGCCTGTTGAAAAGATTAAACTGCATCTCTTGCAACCAAAAGTAAGAATATTGTTACTGATTTTCTCTTGGCTGCAATCAATGAGGAAGTGCTATCCAAAGGTACAGTGAGGACTTTACTAGCCACTGTGGGGTATCATAGCTATACTCGTTTTGGCAAAGAGGGAAAGACAGAAGCAACAGAAACATCTGCTGATCCTAGTTGATGCAAAGCAAAATTTCTGTAATCAAGTTGTCTATTTTTCTCATATTAGTATATCTTGCTCCTTGGAGTGTTTTAGTTCCTTTTAAGGCAAGCTGCTCTTAAAACATGGTAATGAAATAAAAACAATCTGCCTCTTGTCAACTACCAGACAAGGTAAAAGACAAGTACTAGATTCTACTTGGATATGTTGTGGAAGAGAGTTTTCACATATTCCAACTCAATCATTCTTTGATAATTTGATATGTGCTGCAGTTGTTTCATAAAACTTACATTCTCCTTTTTCATTGCGGCACAGGACCTTGGTGTCATCCGTACTTTCTATAATATCAAGAGACTCTCCCGGTTTAATATGTAATTCTTTAGATCCCCATCTTTTTTTAGGCAAATTCTGAACCGCAGTAGTAGAAAAAAGAACTTTTATTTTACCTACAAACTGAAAAAAAAGAAAAATGCTGGTTAAAAATCATTAATGTACAGCTTGTGCTCATGCATTTTTTACTAAATTTTCTAAAATTAGGCAAATATTTGTATATGCTATGTAGTATGGGCCCATGCTTGCAGATGCTCAGACCACTATTATTACAAGTAGTAATACCTCATCTTTCAAAGGATTAAGGGACACAAATGAGAGCATGCCATATAGATATTTTAGTTTTTATATTTTGTGAAAAAAAACTTACTTTGAACAAAACTTACTTTGAATTTTTTCCGGAATTCTTTCTCTTTTCTTTCCATCTGTTCATGCTTTTGTACATCTTTTTCATCCGATTTCCTTTTTCCAAAGCTTGCTACTTTTGATGAACTAAAGCAAGAGGTTACAGACAAAACCAAATCAGCAACACATCTGAGGTATTGGAAAGCTTTCCGATAATTTTGATGAAAATGCATTTTCCTTCATGTGGCTTCATCATGTTTTTGTTGCTCTGTAAAACTAGTGCAGGTAATACAATACAGATTTTATTTCAAAATTAATAAAAAGCTGGAGTTGTCTTTTGTGTTTTTCTCTGATGTTAATGTATCTATCACATAAGCGAATATTGAGGTATTGAGTATTTAAGTATTGAGTATTTAAATATCTGTCTGCTACAGCACTTTAGAATTTCTCAGCAAGGAGCAATTTTTATGAAGTCTGTGTATCTTTTGGCAGTAAGCTGAATAACAGTGTATCTCACTGTGGAGGCAGCTGGAACATCTTAGCCTTACATATGTTAGTCCTATATGGCCATAAAAAACCTTGCTGCACCAGAGAATCTGCATTACATAACCCATTTCAGGTTCTGTTGGTTTTTTTCCACATCCCTGATAGTGTTGACTTCTGCCAAGAAGCATGGAAGTGTTTCATGCCCTAACTGTCCTTTCTGATGCTGTATCTGGGACTGTAAAGTCTCATTCTCCTTTTTGTTCCTTGCTGATCTCTGTAGGAGTTGTGGATGACAGTTTCATTAGTGATGAGTGTTTGTGTGTGTTTGTGTGTGAACTAATCTAGACTTAGTTTAGAACGGCCACATATTTTCCTTTGGATACACAGGCCTAAGAGTTCTCTCTGTTTTAACGTCTCCAGACTAGATTATCATAGTCCACTCTGTTGCTCCACCTGAGTGGAGTAAGTGACACCAGAATGCATCATTTTGCAGTCACCATCACAGATGCATCTGTGCTCATAACACGTCTGTGCTCCAGAGATGACCATAATTTTCTGATCCAGGATAAAAGTCTTCCTAGCTGAACTTTACACCTCCAGATGTGTTTCATACTTATAACACAGAGCCCTGTCTCCTTTTCTCTCAAAATACTGGAGCAGCTGAGATCAAGTATGTATCCTAACAGTCCCCAAATTTTGATAGAAGAAGAACTATGTGCAGAGAATCTACGTTGAAAAGTACCTTTAAGCCATGCATCCATTTCTACCTCTTACTTTTTCTATGGTCTAATTATTGTTCCAATCTGAAATGGAGGAAAGAGCATTCAACTGCCATTTAGTTTTTGAGAACTACAAAACCTGACAACACTAAGTAAAGCAGACATTAACAGCAGTCTGTCTCTAGTAAATACTTTAAAAATGTCTCTCAATGTATTAGATTTCTAATCATAATATTTCCACTTACGTATCATCAAGCGGCGGTGGAGGGAAGTCCGAAGAATCCACATCATCATACACATCCTCTCCACAATCTGAAATAATAGTGTTTAGGAGAATGAAATGTTATTATGTGAAACTTAAGAAGTGAATACACTGTGTTACAGTCTATGGTATTTTACTGAAGTTGACAAGAAAATAAGGCAAGTACTGTAGCCATTTACTGTCTATAGTAACTGTGGATTCTCTGTTTAGCACAATCTACTGTGCGACACCACCCAATCTTTTCAAATTAAGACTCTTTAATAGCAATAGCCAGTAGTCACTGAAATTTTAATCTTCTGAAGTTTAAGCAAGTTTTAGCACATGATGGCTAATGCAATAGCCTTTAATCTTCACTTTAATTAATCCATGTCCCACTATAGTGCATCAAAATGTATTTTTGGAATTTGATTTTAACATATATTCAAGGACTTGTAGAGCACTCTTGTCAATACAACATTGCTTAAAAGTGGATATGAATCACGTGTATGTTAGTTTTTAGGTCATATTGCAACATCAAAGAAGCGAAAAAAATCTTAGCCCAGGAATATTCTTTGAACCACATTCAGTGTATTTGTAGAGAGGAAGCAATTCTTTAACTCATCAAATCAATGCCTAGAGAAATCAGCAGGTTATAAAAGGTTTAGAACTCAGTTCTAGAAACAGCCTCAAAAATTGGAAGAAGTTGCTTTTTATTCCATGGCTGAGCCAATGGTTATGAGTTATATATTATTTTACAGGGATACTGCAAGTGATAAAAGTAACAGCAAGCACCTCTTTTTACTTTTGAAGTCTTTTACTGAGTGCTTCTTTCCAAGTGTATCTGTTCAAATCAAGTTCCAATAAAATGAACTAGTGTAAATCTCAGATAGAAAAATCACATTAAATGTATTAAATTGTTTTCTAGAGAGCTTGCAATGTATATGTATCTCCTTGTCTGTAGCCAATCAGTCACAATATTTGAAATTTGTTTACTAGAACTGGGTAAGCAATAGGAAATCCTGTTTCCTTCCTTGGATGTATTTTTGTGACTAGAATGATACAGAGCAATGTATACAGAAAAAAAGGATCAGGAATCAATAGAGAGACTGAACAATAGACTATTAATTACCTTTTCCAGGCAGCTTTGTTGAAGAAGATGTGCTGGGGAGGGGAGGTGAAAGAAAGCTTATTAAGTATTTATAGCATATTCATAGGCTTTTTTTGTAACCTAAATAATCTAAAAAATTGCGACACCAGGGCTCCAAATAATCTCCAGAAATTTTGAGGTGCCACCGACACCACCAATGCTTCGGGACTAAATGTATTTTTACCACTGAATCAAAGTAAACTTTTTCAGAACTGAATGACTGAGGCAGGTGGTAAAAGCAGCAGTTGCTGATCTAACCTCTAGGTAAGATGAGTAGAAGACAATCTTTGCATTTTTCTGTTTGGAATATTATTCCTAAAATTTGGATTAATGGGTCTAGATTTACCAGTTTATCTCAGGTACATTGTACTGGTAAGCAAAGTACATTTTAACTGAGGACACAGCAAATTTGCATCACCAGAGTGGCACAAAGATGATGGATTATTTTGGTGCTCTTCACTGAAAAGAAAATTTGGCATATTTTAGTTACCAGACTTTTGCAAAAAATATGGCTTGTTAAGAGAATAATTATGCAGGTGAAAAGAAAGCTCAGTGTTTTTGCAGAAAAGTATCATCCTGAGCTGCAATTTTATGCATGATTCATTAGGCTGCTGTGAGGACATGTTAGTAGCATATGATCAATGCTTTATTAGAATTAGTTAATGTGCACTGTGATTTCCTGGCAGACTCTTACAATAAATTTCCATTATCTTCTGCCTCATTGACTTTGGTTGTTTTTTCTCGTATACTTTTCTTTTTGTCATCTTTGACCTTTAGCCTCTTCAAGATTCCCCAGGACCAGATACCATTCTTATCTTCATCCTGTGATACAGACCTTTGGAGTATGCATGCGATTATCACAATGTCAAATGTAATGTTCTTTTTAAAAGGCCCAGTTTAAATTCTTCATTAATGCACATAATTATCATTAATGCCAACAATGTATATATACCATGAAGTGAGGTCACTTACCCAAATGGTAAAATGCTAAACTAGAAATATGTACGTTATGTTACTTGTAGATACTGAGATATATTCATAGTATATATATTAATCTAGTGGCTTACTGTTTTCATGCTGTTACTCAGCTAGCTAGCCATTTAGTTTGTTATTTTCATTTCAGACCTATTCTGTCTACTTGGGGATTTGGAGATTTTCATGATTGCAACTGCTTTTGCTGACTTACTAAAATTAATTACAGAACAAAATTTCTCCAAAGACAGAAGAACTGTTTTAGTTTAGCTTCACTAATTCATACTGATATATAACCACTTGCTGATCATCCTAATACTTGCTAATTATTACGTCTAATTAAAAAATACTAAAACCTGAAAACATTCTGTTAAAGTAGAAAATTATTTAAATTATATAAAACCTTACCTTGCTATGGGATCTCCATCATCAATTTCATCGTAAATATCTTGATTAGAAGGAGGAAGAGGTGGGAACACATCTTTAACAGATGAAACAATGAATTAATGCAAATATATTTAATGCTGCAGAATAGGGTATTCATTACAGGCCTCTTGACTATATTAGACATGTATGCAGTTTAGGTAATATCCTTGTAAATGGAATATTTCTGTAAACCAGCACAGTCTGTTTATTAAAACAGTGATTTAGACTTATCTCAGTTGGGAATGCCATCCACAGAATTTTAATGTGGCACTACCCATCACAAGAGCATGGATACTGAATACGTATGCTTCTACACTGTAGTCAATGAAATTCTAAATGGCTGATTCGGCCCAGACACTAGGATGACTTTTAAATTTTTATGTGTGACTCAAGTGATAACTGAAGATGCCAGACCAATACTCTTAGTAAGGGACATCTTGTCTTCATCCATGGAAGTCAGAGATAAGTGCAATGTAAGCTCCCCATTTTGGCCTCAGTTTTGACCTTTGGGCCCCACCTCCTTCAGTGCAGAGTTAGCTCAGTTTGCATGTGCAATTCCAGCCATCGGTCAGAGCAATCACTGAAATCTGTACTTAGCTGGCAGCAGCTCCATTCAGTACTGCCAGGGGATGCTTCTGCCATGACCAGTATCTAAACTCTAAGCTGAGAAGATGAGCTGTGCTCTTGTGATCAGCAGAGAATGCTATATAAATATATAGGCTACCAAAGGGGAAACCGGGTTTGAATGTGTGTTCTTAAAGCGTGGAGCTCCTGCATCTGGGACTCCAGTGTATTACTGTAACTGAAGTTGCCCTTAACTCTGTTAGCAAAATGCAGCTTTATTTGGTAGTATTACTGGCTTTTTCAGAACCAGAATTCTCCAGCGCAGAAACCCTTGCTCATCTTAGTATTTTGACAGCTATATCTGTGCTGTTTTGTGGGATGATTTACCTCCACACACACACAAAACCCAAGTTTGGTCATCTGTCTTGCTAGTGATTCACAGTATCTGAAGACAAAACTTCTATCTCACTCAAGTTCCTGTTAAGTGGTGGGGAAGGTAATTTGGCTACTATACTTCCTTGTTTGTTGCCCGTTAGCAAACATTTAATATGCTTATGGGTAATTAGTGCATTATCTGGAAGCTGTAAAAAATACACACTAACAACTCCCCCAAAATGTTTATGTAGAACTTACTTCCAGTTCCACTATTGTCAGAACCTAGGCTGGAAAAGCAAACAAAAGACATTTTAGAGAAGAGCAGTCATCCTTGAGTAAAAGAAAACATCATGATCACCCATCCCTTTTTCAGTTATTAATTCTAAAACTTTCGGCACTCATGTTCATGTCAGCTGAACATTACCAGTTCTGCACTGGAAGCTCAGACACATGCTTGTGTTTTCTATGTGGGGAATAACTAAATGTGCCAGCTCTTCCTTTCTGTCTGCTTTCACCACACTCACATCAATTTCTTACAGTCAAATAAGTAGTTTGTATTCTTACTAATGCCAAAGAAAATGTGTAATCTAGTTCAGACATGAACTAGGGCCTAGATGAAGAAAAATTAACTCTTAGTAGATTCTGGTAAAGCAGGAAAAATGCTTCATTTTTTTTTTTTCTGGGAAGTAATTAGTTACAAATCATAAAAGAGTGCTTTAATACATCGCTCAAAGGAATTGAAAGGGGAATAAGAGGGTTATCAGTACGATCCTTAGTATTTTATAAGTAAAGCTGTGAAGCAAATTCTTTATTTTCACAAATCAGTGCAGATATTTCAAGCCAGTGAAGGTGCACTTTTTCATATAAGCAGAATATTGGGTCCTAATTGTTAGCAATTGTTAGCAATTTCCAATGAAGTGTCATTTTCAACGAAATGCAAATTGATGTCTACAGCTATAATGATTTACTATATTTAGAATATATTTTATATTCTTGTTCATATCTTTAAACTAAAGTACAAAATATGCCTTTGGGTCATATGATAATTTATGTTGGAAGTGACCTCAGGGGGTCATGTAGTCTAACTTGATGGGAATAAAAATATAATCCAACTGAACACTACAGAGTGCATCCAGACCCTTTAGATTTGTTCCCTATGAGGGATCTTCTTGAAATGAAATGTTAAACAAATTAATTTATTGCTCAACTAGCTTTCATTGGGTACAATTTAAACCTCTAACTGCATGTTTCTAACATTTCAAAGTTTCTGTGTTAGCCCAATGTTCTAATAGTAGTTGAAAAAACCCTGAGAGGTTCACAGTAGCTGAGATTACTTCCAAGTTAGAGTCTTACTTAAAACCATACATCGAACCAAGTTATCTGTCAAACTTTTGCGCCAAGAACTCCTGAAATACGACAGCCGTGATCACTTATTAATTTTCGAATATTAGCAATACTGCTGATAATGAGCTAATACTATTTGGTCAAGAGATTTTTTTTAGAATGGTATTCTTACAGTGGTTTCAAAACATGTTGATGTATGTCAGACCTTCCAATAATTCATGCTCAAGAACTTAACAGAATGCTATTAATCACCAGAGAAGATAAAAATGTCAAAATACAGCTTAAAAGATTTAATGAATCTGAGCAAATCATTCATCCTTCCAAGTTCCTTGGAATACACTATTATTTTAGTACACAACAGTGTCAGTATTATTGTTTGCTTTTACATTCAACAGATTTTCTAAATACCTTGCATTGAGATGGTTAATTGTGATTCTTGCCATAGTGAGAAGGATTGGCCAAAGATACTTTTGCAATAAAGTAACTATTGCTGAGATTACCTAAAATGTAAAACAACTAACTCAAGTCTCCTCGCTAGGTCACGAAGCCATGAGGCCAATGTGCAGGGAGGAAAACTGATATGGAGCAAGCTGGCGAAGTATCAGATTTGTTGCTTAAGAATGTCAGCCTGAAAGCAGACTTTTCCAAGTGCTGTTTCTGGAGCTCAGTGGGAATGTTCTATCAACTGAGGATCAGCTGCACTCAGCAGGCAGCCAGCTTCAGTCCTTTTATTCCATGTAGGCCTACAAAGTTAGGAAGCCTCATGGGAAGCAGTGAAAGCAGGGGTAATGGCTGTTTCAAGATGGTTGTCCTACATATGGAAATTCTTTGCAGCTGTATGCAGATACCTTGTCCCAGGCTATGTGTTCCTGCACATCTGGACACATAGTGGAGATTGAGCACTAGTTTGTTGCATCACATTTCAGAAGCAGGCTTTTATGTGAGGCCTGGTAATGGAGGGTACCACTGTCATGCTAGGTTGTGTGATAGCCTTGACTCCTGTCACAAGGTCACTAGGATATTTCCCAGCCTGCAAATCTGATCTGCTGCTGGAGGTGGCACTTAGAGAAATGTACGAAGAAGATCTTAACTGCAGATCTGTTTGACATGAAAAAGATGACATATTGAAGTAGAGAGTATGCAGTGGAGCACTGCATTGCAAATGCGTGTGAGACCGTTCCATAGAGAAGAAGCTTCTGGTGAAGTCAAAAAAGTCAAAAAAAGCTCATACCCATCTCATGGAACTTGAGAGGTCTTGTTTTCAGGATTAAACTCATTAGCCACACTCTTTCCTGAAGGGCCATCTTAAACTTGATTCCAGAAGTCCCTTCCCTTCAAAAGAAGACTTATGGACTCACACTGAGGCTCATGAAAGCAATGGGGGTGATCAGGAGTTCCCTCCTGCAGTGAATTGCTTTTAGAGTCTTTTATTTTTTCATGTTAGAAAAGGGACTACATGACTTCAAAAGACAGGATGAGAGAAGAGAGGGAGTGAAGAGAACTGCACTTCCTGCATATGATTTGTAATCCTGTATGGTTTGCATTTTGTTCTGTTTTGGACTGCAATAGTGTAGGTCCTCTTCCAATAGTATGAATTCCTCCTGAATATGGGAGCTTACAGATAATGGATTACAGAATTCATTTATGCTCCTCTAACCAACTTACATGTTTCTTATACAAATGACTGTTCCATGACAAGAGTTGGCTTTGTTGTTGTGAAACTTCCCCTGGCTAGGCTGACTGGGATGAATTACTTTTTTCTTTCCATGTATTCCTTATACATACCTCATCAAGCTCTCCTGCTCTCCAACATCATCATACACTTCCATGTCACACTCTGAAAATTCCACATTGACTCCAGTAGGTGCTCGTTGCTTTCTTTTTAAAGAGTCATAATCAATCTCTACCATGGTTGTTTTAATGTATCCATCTAAATGAATGAAATCATTAGGCAGAGACAGTTTTAAAAGGTCATGGTAAAGGGATGAGTTTAACAGAAGGTTCAGAACTGAAATTTTTTTAATGAGTTTTGAAAACTTTCAAAGTGTCTCATTCCAAGCAGCCTAAGCTTGACTCTCCATCAACACAAATACAAATCTCAGATCTGTCTCCCCACTAAGCCTTCCTCAGGTGGTGTCAAGTTAACTTCACCCCTATTTGCTTCTCAGGTGCTAGCTCAGAATTTTCTGGACTGCAGACTCCTGGAATCATGAGGCAGACTCCATTTCTCAGCTAACCTTGGAACCACTGCAGTCTTGCGCATATTTTAGGTCATCAGAACAGTTGGCCTAAGATGAGGAACTCTGTATCTCCTGAGGGGAATTTTAGACAGTCCTCTTAAAAATCATGCAAGTGTTTTTAATAATTTTGATTGATTTAACGGATCAGTCTTTTATAACCCAGGAGCCAGATCATCAACCCCTTTATCACACTCACAGATCCACTGATGATATTTATACAATTAGAAAAACATCTTGGATTTCAGACAAAATAAAAACTAAAAATCAGTTAGAAAATTTCCGTAGGAGTTGAAACAAGATAAAGACTTAGAACTGGTCCTTATAGTCTCTATTTCTATTTTAGGAACACCAATGTTATGATTAAGAGAAAGACAGGAAAAAATGCGATCCTTGTTACTTGCAGAGTGCCCAGTTCTGATGCTATTTGAAAGCTGACAGGGAATTGCTTCTCAGTGTGTCAACGAAGGTTCCAGCATATTGTACCTGACTTATTTTAGTGCCTATAAATGTTACATCATGTTTTGCAATACCTTCATAATATGAACTAAACCTTTCATGCTAGCTGGGCACAGGAGGGCAAACTGTGGTAATTACTTACTATGGTGGCCAGTGACTCAGCCTTGGTAAGGCTACTCTTTGGTGTAATGCTCACCTGTTTGCTGTCATACAGTGAAAACATTCAGGAGCACAAGGGAGAAACAGAACTCACAGCATTCTCCTATCCTGCCCAGCCACTTTCCTTCTGGGTTGTCTGTGAGGCGAATGATTTCAATCTTATCCCCCTCTTTGACAGTCAGTTCATTCTTCCCCCCTTTGTAGTCAACACAAGCTCGTGCCTGATGAATAACTTCAATGGGTCTCATTAACTGCAGAAAAGAAGGAACAAAATAAATCACAGATGTGGAAAATGGAGGTTTTTTCTCCCAGACATTCAGAATGAAAGAAAAAATAACAGTTATGATGATTACTTGTTTCATTGACATTAAAGTGGCCTAGGCAAATAAACAGAAAGGCTTTCTGCCACCACAACTACCTAGTTTAAATTAATAATCAGAGATTAAAAGAGAGGGGAACAGCATGGAAGTAGACCAGTTGAACTGATTGGCAAAATCACAAAAATACAAAAACTAAAACCAACAAACTAACTATGGAGCCTTTCATGAGTTTACAAAACAGACATATTTAATTCCAGTGCACATCTCCATGTATTTCCAGCAGAACCACTCACCAAAACAGAATCTTTTATGTCGGAAAAGACCTCTGAGATCACTGAGCTCAATGGAAGAAATATCCAAACTAAATATCCCCCAGCACAACTTGGGGCTACTTCCTCTTGTCCTAATCCTTGTTATGTGGGAGAAGAGACCAATCTACCCCTCACAACCTCCTTTCAGGTATTTGTTTGGAGTAATAAGATCTCCCCTGAACCTCCTTTTCTCTGAGCTGAGTACCTCAGGCTTCTGCAGCTGTTCCTCATAGAACTTGTGTTCCAGACCCTGCACCAGCTCCATTGCCTTTCTCTGGACTCTCTCCAGCACAGCAATGTCTGTCTTGTAGCAAGGGGCCCAAAACCAGACACAGGATTCAAGGTGCAGCCTCACCAGTACCAAGTACAAATGGACAATCGCTGCTGTGGTCCTGCTGGCCACACTATTGCTGATACAAATCACATGAATAAAATTCATTAACATTAAAGAGTCTGTCACATAATCCTCTGTGTTTACAATTCTTTTCTATAAATGATATTGCAAATACTCACAAGAGATGATCACACTGTTTACTGGAGTTTAGGATTTGCTCTGTGGGATCTTTACATTATGGAGAAACCATTTTGGATTGTAGTATTTGTTACTTTAAGATATATATGACCTTTCAGAGGCACAGTGCTCTTGCCAATTAGAGAATAGGTCAGGAATATAGGTGTATAGGTGGCGAATAAATGTGAAAAAAAATACCAACTAAAATTTATTTAAATATAATAACATTCCTTAATGGCTGTAGGACAACAGTCTGCAAGCTAAAAGCATTCTGTGCACTAATACCTACACTTCACAGGAGTGGTTAATCCACTATTATTAACTAAGTGGTTCTTTAATATTTGCTTATCAAGTCATGCCAGTCTCTCCACAGCTGACCAAGGCCTCAGTGTGAGACAATCACTATGGCTTTACTGTGTACTGAACATAATAGGAAATAAAACAAAGCTGCCCACTATGTACAATGACACTGAAAGCAGCACAGTGGAGCATTGTGAACAGATATTAGTTTAGAGAAACTGGCTGGCTGATTTGCAAACTGTGGGAGCATGCTGACCACCAGATATATAAATATTATTTAATAACAGAAAGAACTGCCTCATGATTTAGCCTGAGACACAGACTTTAGCTCCCCTACACATGCCCTATTCACTTCCTCCCCACTTAAGCTGTATATCCGTTTAGATACCTGTATGCCAAGTGCAAGGGCAATATGTTGCAATTATGAAATCTCTCAAGGGCTAGATACTTTTGTATCTGACTACAGCAAAGCAAGTAACACTAAGTATACGGGATACAATTCCCACTTTTATTAAAGACTTTTGGTGCTATTCTAATGATGCAAATCATTAGAAACAGAAAAGTGAAAACAAATTTTTTTTTTTTTGCTTGGTTTTTTTGTTTGTTTTTGGTTTTGGGGGTTTTTTTGTATTTTTGGTTTTTTTTTTTTTGTTTTTTAACATGGAAAGAAGTTGTGAAGGTAATTTAAGGAAAACTGCAAAGGCACTGAACAAAGTCCTTGCCATCAGTGGGGAGCTTGAAGTCAAGTATATGCCCAACATAAAAGGGTAGTTTAAAACTTTATTCAGAATTTATTCAGGTGTTTGAACTACCTACCATAACAAATAATTTTGTAACTAGATGAGAAGTGTATTTTGAACTTGACACTGCTAAATAATCCTTCTTACGTGTTTTTGGCCAGATTACAAAACAAAAAGCTTACTTTGAACTTCTTCCTTAATTCCAGTTCTTTCTTTTCTTTTTCCTTTTGTTCTTTTTTCTCTTGTTCCATTCTTCTCTTATCTTCTTTGTTCTGCTTCTTCTCTTTTTCCCTTGATGATCTGAAAGTGCATTGCCAGGAATGAATGTGTGAAGCAAATCTTCCCTAGAGCTTCCTTACTCAAGGTTGATAAAAAATTACATGTGATAAAAAAAGACTTCTCCAAGTGAAATCAAAGCTATGGATTCTAAACTCTAGTGAAGCTGCAACAAATAGAGTAAGGAATCCTTTACTACATATATAATTTAAAGTGGCTGTCCTTAAGGGGACAGCACACCAGGAAAGGCTACCTGGAGGTAAAATACCAGCTCTACATGTGTGTATCTAAATGTCCCTGACCCAATTGTGTTGAACAAGCTTGGAAACTGGTAGCAGTTTCATTCCTTTTTTAGGATAGTTTTGATAAGCTGATATGCTTAAATTATACTAAAAAAAAATGAAGAATGAAGATCATTTGCTTGGGTTATAAAACATGTATTAATATCACTTATTTGCAAAGGGAATTCACCAAAAAATTTTTGCTGAAAGTCCTTCTAAATCTGAAGTATTCTACATCTACTACTTATTTGAAGGGAATTGGCTATTGTAATACAGCAAACGCCATACATTTAGATATTACCAGGGCAAAAGAGTCCTCAAAGTAAAGGTCTAAATGGAAGAAGAATAAGAGAACTTGTATTCTCGCTAGTGTACTCAGGCAATGAAAACTGTCAATCCAGCCTCCCACAGGAGTTCTGAGACAATTTATCTGAAAAGCAAGAAAAACAACCACAACAAAAATCTATCTGGTACCATAGTATCTTGAGCTGAGCTTATTTTTTAGAGAACTAGACTGTAATTCCAAGAAGTGGTTCAGACATGTTCCTCAGATCAGAAATCAGTCTTCTGTTACCTCAATCACAGTAACAACATCAGTTAATTACAGGAGTTTTTCCAGCACGAGGCATGGCAGATCTAACTAGAAAAGAACCTTAGAACAACTGGACTTTCTTTAGGTGAAAATGAACACAATAATCCCTGGCAGGGACTGCAGTGGAATGACACTTTTGTGCCAGATGAAATATCTTTGTTAACAAAGACAGTAATAAAGATACAATAGGTTATAGAGTTTAAAATTGCTACCTGATGTCATTTATATCTTCATACATCTCTACATCACTTTTTTGGCCCTACAAAACAAAAAACAAACAAACAAACAAAACAACAAAACACAAACAAACAAACAAAATCAGTTTTAAATGGTCTAAGTACAATTGGAAAGATATGAAGAAACTGAGCCTGCTACGTAAGCTTCACATAAACTATATAAAATACATTTATAGCAAAATGCAAACACAAATTCCTTTAATCTTCCCAAAACAAGTTACTACATTATACAATCCCACTATTCTTTTTTCCCCACCTTTGTTTTTACAATACCACAACTATGAAGTCCTGGATTGTTAGAATCACACCAGCACACTACTTAATCCTAAGGGGACATTTTAATCGCAACATTAGTCCTGAAAAATCTGCATCCATGCTGATGGTTGCACTGCTATGATGAATGTGGCAGAGTTTGCACTATTTAAACTGGAATGTTAATGATCTAAATGGGGCTAAGATTAGGGTCCAAGAGACAGTTTTAGTCTTCCTATAACCAGGTATTTAAGCATACCAATATAAAACTGTGCTTAACTGAAATACTAACTGAAATATTCTCTTACTAGAATGCAGCAGGATCCTTGTTTCTGGAAAATTGTAGTGAAATGAAATGTCAGTGTTATTAGAACGTGTACTTTTGACTTTTTTTTTTTTTTTTTTTTTTAATCAATTTTTGCTGTATAGTCAGCTTTGAAAATTAGTTCTGGTTTATTCTGCTTACCTGAATTTATTTCTGTCCTTCACAATAAGTAAGTGCTTCTACAACTTACTGTCAATATACTGGATCATTTCTGCAATTAATTTTCTAATTCATTTAAGGGGTTTTAATAAATTTGGTAGTTTTTTGCTAAAAATGATAGGTTTATCTTGGAGGATAGCACTTACCCCCTGTGTACTTCCATGACCTATGGGAGGAAAAACAAAAACTGGGTATTTATTTTTTCTTGTACACAAAACAATTAATTGTAGCATTAACTGTTTTAAACTGCTAATAATACAAGTGATATTAATCAGAAGTATGTGCAGACTCCAGGTTTTTAATGAGGTAATGAATGCAAAAATCAGAATTCTTCCAAAGTGGTTTTATAGTACACTCTAAAATAAAAATATCTACAAACAGCATATTTAACTCTGTGTTTTAAAAGTGGAAAATTTGTTTTAAAGATTCTTTAGTGACATTGAAAAATTTACCTATACTATTTGTTTACAAAAATGCATATTTATATGAGAAAGTCATGGTTAAAAACCTAAGAAATCCAAACAGATCTCAAAGAACTTTTTTGCACCAGCCCCACAGCTGAATAAGGAGGCCAAAGGCCCTTTGGCTAAGGCAGTGTCTGCCCTGGGCTGCAGAAGAAGAAGCTCTGTGACTTTCCTGCTTCCTCCTTAGTCTGCAGGGAGTTAGGTTAGACAAGCTCGGTTTCAGCTCCACAGTCTGCATTGCTGTCCGTCAGGGATGGCCAGCACACTAAATGATGCACACTGTGCCTGGCACAGACTGAGTCCCCCCAAAGAGAGATCAGAAGGCAGATTGAAATTTTTTATGTCACAATCTGCTTCTCTGCTGCTCCTGGTACAACACAGTGGCTCACTGCCTCTAATTGAGGCAGACCACAAAGCAACATTAAAAGCACAGTCAACAATTTTTATTTTTTTTTAGCAAGTATAAGCCAGTGCCTCCTTCACCAGACCACACAACTTCAGCTCTGAAAGAACAGCATTCATTTTGGTTCAGATTTAAAAAATCTGGTAATTTACAGTCCTAGCATTTTTCTAATGAAAAAAAAAGAAAGGAGGGAGGGAGGGAGGTAAGAGGGAAGTTATTTAAAGCAGTTCCTGAAAGTCTGTCATATTAATCATAGAACAGTAGAACAGTTAGTGTTATGAGACAACCATCTTCACTCATGAAACTACAGAACTAGTATAATAAGTTACACAAATCACACATAGAAAATATATTCTTTTGCTTATCTTATAAATACAACTTTCTTGCAGCTTCTCATAGTTGCCACTGATTAAAATGTATGCATCTTACCCTGCGAAACAAATTCCACGTCATCATAATTTTCTTCATTTTCTGGATTTCTGTAAGTATGAAAAAGTGGACACGTGAAACCTATGAAGGCGGTCTTATATTTTATATTTATATTTTCATCCACCATTGTCCTGCTGCTTTTTCCATCTATTTTGTACAATGGCTGGACAGTCTATTGAGCTCTATATCCTACTTAGTAGAAACAAGATTCTTTAAATTATTCTTCCTGATTGTGGCTTGGTGTTTCAGATGGGGACACCTTGATCTTGAGAATAAAAGATCAAAATAAGCCAAAGGCACTCAGATACCATAAAGATGAGTATGGTATGAAAAATATAGTCAGGAGATGGGCTGACTGAATGAAAAAATATGTTGGGCTTTTAAACTATCCTTGCAGGTGCAGGCTTCTTACACAATACACAAGCATAACGTGAGACTTTTGATCAATGTTAAATATAGTTCTGAGACTACTCCTTGACTTGTAGGGCTTTAAGTCTAAACAAGGGACAAGAGAAGCAGTAGTGTAAGGTTAGGCCAAGTAAAAGGTCTCTGATGTTAGATTTAAAAGTGCTGTCCAACTGATTGAGAATATAACTAGTAATATCAGGGACTTTTAACTTTAATATGTCTTGTAACAGCTGAAAGAGAGTTAGGGCTGATAGTGATCATCCAAGAAGGGTAATCAAAGAATGGACTTTGAAGCAGAATGGGATGTTCTAAAATTGGCCTCATAGCAAAAGCACAGAGACAGGTGAAAGCACAAGTGTCAGCACCCAGGCACAAGTTTTCAGTGGAGGGGAGACCCCAGAGAGCACACAGGAATGGAAGACCAGAAGGGCCATCTGGAGGTAAATTTCGCAGGTCACTGAAGGTGAAGATGAGGATACCCAGGATGGCTGTTGCAGGTGCCGTGGCCTTGAGGCTGGAGTGATGCTGTCACTCTGGCCACAGTGACACAGAGCCCTGTGTTGGCACACACCAACACTCCCTGCCTGTTGTTTGCTGCTCTTTGCAGTAACTGTTGGCCAGAGAGCATCTCCTTATTGAGGCTCAGCTTGATTCCAGTCAGTTTTGACACAAGATCAAAGTACTTATAACTTTTTTTCACCAGAGGTTCCACTTTTGTATGCAAGTCTTCAAAGAAGGATTAAGAAGGGAGCCCTGTATTGACAGAGGCTTCTCAGAGTTACCACTCTCCTTGCTCTCTTACCCCAGAAAAATGCAGGGTAAACCTTCAGTTATTTATTACAACTGTTTTTCTACCCATGTATGAAGTCTTTCAACAGGTTCAAAATAAAAACTCAGTCTGTTCCCTTCTCCCCACCCCAGCCCCCACAACAGGGCAAAAAAAGTGTTGTTATAGCTAAGGCAATTCAGGGAAACAACTGAATAGATGAAGGGTTCAAACTAATAAAAACTAATTCCAGACAGGACAAGGCCAGGGCAAGACAAGGACAGTGGTAAGACTTCACTCCCCCAGAAACCTGGGACTCCTGTAGTATTCATCTGCAGCTGCATGAGCAAAAAACAGTTAGAAAAAGGTGAAACAATAAAGAGCTTGAGGTTTACGTTCACTTACCTTGTTTCAGAGCTGGGCTTGATGTTTCTGGGAGGCAGACTGGGAGCTGCCTTAACCTGCAGGGCTGGGTAAGAGATTGGTGGAGGAGGTGGTAACTGTGGGGCAGATGCTGCTGAGGAAGGTGCTGTGAGTTTCAAACCTTTAGCTGCTGAAATAAAGAACAGATTGATGTATCAAGCTGAGGACAGAACCTTGCTGTTTTACATGAAGTATTGGGTAAAATATCAGTACTGAACACATACCAGAGCAAATATATTTTGTTGAACCTGCTTCTTATAAATCTTTGTTGCATTATCTTACCAGAGTAGAGAGGAAGAGGCTCTACATAGCAGAATGTACTGCCTGCACAAAGCCTTGAAAATGTCTTTGCCAAGACATGAACAAGATGCAAAAACTTCACAGGCCATCCAGTATATATAAGTACCTGTGCTTTGAAACTAAATTATAATATAATTCCACAATCTGCTTGGAAAAACCAGCTGCAGAATTTCATGTGAGTACTTATGCAGTCTTGATGACTTTTTCTTGCTCAGAGACAGAGTTTTAAGGGAAAGGATGAGAGATAAAAATATATTTGGGCATTTATTAAAAGATATACTGGTCCCTGAACATCTTCAAATATGTATTTAATGAAAGTTTTACAAGGCTGGACATAATTTTCTAGCAAGCCTCCACTAGAAAAGTCGCAGTTTAAGAATCTGCACAGAAGCTACCCCCTCAACAGACAGGTGTAGTCTTAAAAAAATGATGATGCTGTGCACCAGGCAGAGAAGCCATAATTTCATGAGCGAGCTGGTGTTCATGTGTGCTGCACTGAGTTCATGCTCTATGTATAAGTCACAAACAAACCATAGTAACCATTGCTTTGAGAGTTCACGTTGAGAGAATTTATTCAACACAATCAAATTCAATCACTGTTTGGATGTCATGATATTAAACCTAGAATTTTTTCTGAATTATCACTAGTGGATTAAAAGCTACCCAAAAAGAATTGTCCCCAGCCACATGGGGGGAAGCCCAACAAAATCCAAGGAAGAAGAGAACAGCAGGAAAAAGGAAATTCAGAGTTAAGTTAACACCAACTACAAGTGAAAAGAAACCCCCTTCTCTTCTGGAGATTTTCTTTAAGTTCACATCTGTACAGTGGAAATTAAAATCTTGTCAGGAAAGAAAATGTTCACACCACTGGAAAAAATTGCCTTAAACACAGAACAACAACAAATACTTAGTAATGTTTAATATCAAGACATAAAGTTACAAAAACTACTGGAAGACTTTTTTTTAGCTGCTGAGATGTCCAAAATTCTGTCTTTGGGATAGACAGGAAAAGGGGAATTGGTAACTTTCAGAAGGACCTCTCATGTCTGATGTGGAAATCAAAGTGAAATTATCAAGCCTTGACAGTTTGTCTACTTATTACCGAAGAACTCAAAAATATATGGAGAAATTTTGCTTCATGGCTGGATGGACCAACCTGCTAACATACACATCAACAAGAGTGAATTTGAAACCTGTAAATTCCTTCATTACTTAAATAGCAAAGTACTAATAGCCCCAACACTGCTGATTAAACAGGTGGATTCTTTTGTGTTTTTGTTAAGGAACACATTTCTTCATTCAACATATATGCTTGCTTTTGAATAAAGGTAAACTTTGCTTAAATGAGCCAAGGTTACACATGATTGTGCTCTTGTATCTGGGTCTCATAGGATGATGTGGTAGCATTTAACTCTTCACAGGCTTTATTCATCCACAGGTTTCATCTGCTATGATCTCTTATTGTTCTGAAACCCCTTATAAAGATGAATAGCACTGACTACTTAAACATATATCTGCAGCTGAGTTCTAGATTCTAGCCAAAGAAAGCAACCAGAAAGAAGGGGTTTTTTACTTTGATTTTTTTTCTTTTTTTTTTTTTTCATAAAAGGCATGTAAATTGGTATTAATGATACTCTCAAATTTATTTTTGTGTTTTAACAGGATATCCTATATTGTTTTTCTGTGGTTAGATTTCTGTTGCCCTTATGGAGTGTTGTGTATATGCACAACATGCATAAAAGCATTATGTCATCATATTGTGTTACTTCATTGTGATTAGTTTGTAGGACTAAAGTAAAAATTCTGCCCAAGTCTCAGTGTATAACACTTCTCGGATCTGATATGCCTTGGAAGCCAAATCCAGGCAATAGGAAACTGAGCCAGGAAAGGACACCACATGCATTTTAGATTTAGTGCTTATTTTTAAGTATAAGGGCTGAGTGATCTGTCCTTTTTATGTACATTGTAATCTAACAGTAACTAAATGATCATCATAATAATGGAAATAATGCTCTTTATTGTCTAACTATCAGAATGGACTCTTCTCTGCCTTAAAGTTGTAATTAACCGCACTTATGACTGAGACTGATGTAGGTGTAAAATGCTTTACCTCAAATACTGGAAATAGTGGGATGAGTTAGATAGGAAAGTGGTAAGCAGTATAAAAAAGCTAATCAGGCCTGATGAGCCAAAGCTATCATAAAATTTCAATAGTGTGTTTTTTCCTATTTTAGTGGAGCATTTAATTTTGATTCCAGTTTGGGTTTTTTGTTTGTTTGGTTTGGTTTGGGTTTTTTTGTGTCTGGGACACTTGGAACTCTGAAAACCTGGAAAGGCTCTGTGCAGGTAGTGGAACTGCAGTCAGCTGCAGACACTTAGATCAAGAATTCAAACTGAAACTACATTCTGGCTTCACATGCACCTAAAGCATTCTCATCACAGGAAACAGTGCTAGGGATGATCACTGTATGGTAGCTTTGACCACTAGCACCTCAGTTTCCAAATAGCCTCTCCCCTCTTCTTAGGACTGAACTTTTCACATGCTGTGCTACACTGAATAAAGAGATGCAGATGAAGATGAATAACCAATTATCAACCTGGCCAGAACAGAAAGAGTAGAAGAAAAAAAAGCCACATTTTTTAGCACTCACACCTGCAGCTCAACATCCATTCACTGATGATACAATACCTGCTGATCAATCAAATTTGTATTGCAATAGAATGTGGTTATTTGGCAGAAAGGTTTTACCTGACAACAGTGGCAAATATTAATTTTGATATGTCCCTTGAATCAGGAAAATATCCCATCCTAGCAGAGGGTGATCTGGATTCAGCTATTTGTATTTTTCTCATACTTGGCTGAATTGCAGCAACAATGTGTACCTGCTCTCAAAGCCAACAGTGCCTTAGAAATCCCAGTTAGCTCAGAATAACTGTACTGATATTATCAGCAACACATTCTCTTCCTAATGCATCAGCCTGGCCTCTAGCCTCTAAGCAGTCCAGACTTAACAGCAAAGAATGAACTCTTAATGATGTTTAAAGTATCAGGTTGTAGCATCTAAGCTATTAATTTCCTCAACCCAGAAATTTCTGGTTCAAAACTGAATTAGAAATTTCTAAACAAAACTAAAACCAAATAGCAACGCATATTGCTCTACCTTCCGTTTTGAGTTCACTCTGATCGCATCTGCTTCACCTTAAATGCATAGCCATATGTAAGAAACAAGACAGTCTCTTGCACATGCAAGTGGAAAACTGTTTCTTGACTTCATATCCTAAAAAGAAGACTACCCCACTTTTCCTTTGGCCTAGAGTATGGCCTTGGTGAAAGCTTATTCCCTTTGACCCCTGACGCAGTGAGCTCGTGATGCGGTGCTGACTCCTTCTTTTAGTAACTTAAAGAAAACCTGACAATGATCAGGTACAACAGGGAGACTCCAAAAATTCTGCAGGAAAAAAATGCCCAGAATTTTAAAATTCTTAATGAATTTTTATATTTTTCATAAAAAAAGAACTTAAGGATTTTTTAAGCAGCTACACAGTAAAAAATCTTGCATTTTGAAAGAAGCACAGTTCCGTAATGCAAACCACTTTTGAGCTACACTGCAAACACAACATGTTTTTCAGTCTTACTGCAAAACATTTCACCACTTCTACATTCAAGATCTGGGAAGTTTTCTGGGTTTTACAGAGGGTTTTTTAAGAACCTACAACAACATCTGCAGCAGCTGATCACCCTCTTCCTACCTAATTCGTAATGTGCAGAGAGCTGTGCTCTGCTCTGCTTCCCTAACTGCATTTTCGTTTAGATACAAGCCATGGTTTCAGGTTTCACAGTTATGTTGCTTGGGAGCTGCTCAAAGTGAGCAGGTAAATGTAAAACACTGCTGAAGCTCAGTGCTTTTGATTATGCTGTTGACAGACATACTGTGACAACAGAGACACAAAGTTCATTTGCAACACTGCTCATGCAAAACAAAGACCATAGAAAGTTTGTGATTATTGCTCTCCTTGAGTCTAGATTCCACTTTTAGAAATGACAGGGTAAAATCTTTTATTAATTTTCTTTTCTTTTCTTCTCCTCATTTCTCCTGATTCTCCTTCCAGCTGGATGATAAATCTCTCTTTTTCATCTTTGCACAAAAGAAATCACCTCCAAAAAAAAAAAGGTGCATGAAGGGAAAAGGGGAAAATGGAGACCTAATTCACCATCCTTTTTAAGATCACTTTCCTGATGGTTGCTCATACATCATGAGAAACATGATCAAAGCAGATGGAGAATTTGTCCTCTTTTAAGCAGAACTTCTTATTGATCTCAACTGGAAAATCTTGTTTCCAGAACAGATGAAAAGACTGCTTATGGGTGTTAACACCTATTCAATGCCTTATATTCTCAAAATGTCATGGAGTTGACATATTAAGTCCGAGACATGATACCTGGTAGGCGATTTTTCCCATTCTATGTATGTAGAAACAAACAGATGAAGGAAAATGAAAGCAAGAGTCTAAATCTACATTTAAAGTTGATAGCTGAAAAATATTAAGCATAAGTAATAGTCTTACTCCCAAAGGAAAGACCACAGGTTGCATCCAAAGTACTTCAGTATGTAAAGTTTGCAGGACTGAGCCTTATTGTGTCTAAATATGAGGTTAGATATTTGTAAAGCTTCATCTGGGCAGTGCTGACTGGCATAAGTGATTTCAAACTACAGATGTGTAATCCTACACAGAAGCCTATCCTTATGTAAAGGGGAACACAAAAAATTAATTCTCAATTGAACTGCAGTTGAAACTTTTCATTGTCTGATAAAAAGCTTTAATGATTAC